GTCTTGGTGTCTCCATCCTCAAGAGCTGGAGGTATCCCACAGGGTGGAATTTCTGAAAATAAGTGAAGAGCCAAGATTGACAAAAAGATGATCACGTGGCGCAGCTGTGATACTTTCAGGAACGCTGGTATGCTGGCTTTTGAGGAAATGCTGTTCAATTATGTTTTTTCCTTCAATGAAAAATGCCTCAAAACCTTAGAAAGAAACATGTAGCTGTATTTGTTTTCCTGAGTAACTAATATTATTTTCTCATATTTATTCTATATATCGTTTACTGAAGGACATGAATAATTAAGTAAATATCTAAAACATGCATTTGCTAATAATAAGCATTAAGTTTTCTTAACCATTCATTAATTTACTTAAGAAACTGTTCCCTTAATCACAAGTAGCAGATCTGAGCTTTTTTTCTTTTTGACATTTTTCAGGGAATTGAATTCATATGATGCTATAATAAGTGAATTCATTTGAAATTGAACACAGTTTCACAAATTTAGTATTTGTATCCATTCTTGCCGGGGGAGCTAGATGATTTTTGTGGGGGTGGCCAGCCCGAAAATATGATTTACACATGATTTTAAATTCAAAATCCAGAAACTCACAATTCACTTACTGTTCTGTACTACTACAAAACACTGTGTGGCTACAACACGCAACTCAATGATGTGGTCGTACATGCTACTTGCAAACTGTAATAGTAGTAAAAGAAAAAGCCAATTTTCGCCTCTTGTATCCTCGATCTTGTTCTTTCAGTCACTACCCACAGCTTGTGACCATAGGTGAGGGTAGGGACGTAGATCAACTGGTAAATCAAGAGCTTCTCTTTTACACTCAGATCTCTCTTGAACAAGATGGACCAGTATACCGCATCACCAATCCATTTGTGGATCTCCTGCTTTCTTCTCCCCTCAGTTGTGAACAAGACCCCGAGATACTTAAACTCCGAGAAACACTTGGGGCAGGAACTCATCCCTGACCTGGAGTGGGCACTCCACCCTTTTCC